GGGGGTGCCCGGGGGAACACCGGGGAAAGGAGCCCCAAACAGCCCCCCCCACGCGCCCCCAGGGCGAGGGGGGGGGAGGGGGGAGGGGTCGGGGAGGGGAAGGGGGGGGGGGGGTGTCACGGTGCAGGGGTGGCGGGGACGGGGGGATGCAGAGGGGGGGATGAGTCACCGACCCTTCCGAGTCATCACTGCGGCATCACCCCAAAAATGGGGGGAGGACACACAGCTGGGTGCAGAGTGGGGGCAAGGGATGCACAAGATGCTTGTGTGTGGGGGAATTCAGGAGTTTGGGGGGATTTGGGCCCCCCCAAAATCTCACCTGCTTGTAGGTGACGCCGAGCTCGGTGACATCGGGGTACCCGGCGTCCTCAGCCTCGTCCCCGCTGTCCCCCAGCCCCTGGCAGCCCTCGGGGTCCTGCAGCTGCTCCGGGGGGTCCCCAGCCTCCGGGGAGATGAGGGTGAGGGGAGGGCCGAGGGGGGGGACAGGGGCCCCCCCCTCTCCTGGGGGGGGCGATTGCTGCTCCGTCAGCTCCTCCTCCGTCTCCTCAGGGTGGGTGGGGGGCTGCCGTGCCAGCTCCCCCGCCTTGGGAAGCAGCTGGGGGGCAGGGGGGTGTTAGTGACCCCCCTGCACCCCTATACCCCATCTGCCCCACCCCATGCCCAACCTACAGTCACCCCCTGCCCCACAGCAATTCCATACCCACCCCATATGCAGCCCATGCCCATGCTCACCCTATGCCCCATTCCTACCCCACATACACCCCACACCCATCTCGTGCACCAAAGCTACCCCATTCCCATCTCACAACCACCCCATGCCCCCCCCACTCCCCCCAGCCCCACCCCCCACCCCCACCCAGTCCTTCCCCAGTTTCCGCCCAGTTCCCCCTCCTTTGCCTCAGTTTCCCCTGCTTGCAACATCACCCCCCCAGCTGTATCTAGGGGGTTAGTGGGGTGTCAGGTTGCCCCACAGCTACCCAACATGCCTACCCGTGGGGCAACCTGACACCCCACTAACCCCCTGCTCACCCCATGCCCTCCCAGTGCCAGTCCCGGGCTCGGCCCCCACGGGTTGAGCATGGGACCGGCACTGGGAGGGCATGGGGTGAGCAGGGGGTTAGTGGGGTGTCAGGTTGCCCCACAGCTACCCAACATCCCACCCCATGCCCCATTCCCACCCCACATACACCCCATGCTCACCCCATGCCCTCCCAGTGCCAGTCCCATGCTCAACCCGTGCCCACCCACACCCACCCCATACCCCATTTCCCACATCACATACACCCCATGCCCACCCCACGCCCATCCCATACCCATTCCCCACACACACACACCCCATTCCCACCCCACACCCATCCCATACCCATTCCCCACACCACACACACCCCATTCCCACTCCACTGCCAGCCTCACTTGCACCCCATACCCACCCCATGCCCCCCCCCAGTCCCAGGGCTGCCCCCGGCCCACCTTGCCCAGCTGGACCTGCTGCTTGTCGAGGAAGTGGTGCTGGAGGGGGCCGTGGGGCAGGGCCTGGGGGCTCTGGGGCAGCGGAGACGACTGGGTGCGGCTCAGGGGCCGGTGCCGAGGCAGTTTGTTCCCACGGGGACCCCCCCCCGCGCTCTCCTGTCACCAGCGGGGACTGGCCGTGCAGGGGCACTGGGGGGCACCGGGTCAGTGGGGCACCCGACACCCCCCGGGCCCCCCCAGTGCAGCTGGGGGTGAGGGTGGGGGGCTGTAGGCAGGGGAAACTGGGGCAGGACTGGGGGGGAACTGGGAAAGGACTTGGGGGGGGAAAGTGGGGAAGGACTGGGAGGAAAGCGGAGCACAGAGGGCGACAGCGGCAGGAGTCGGGAAGGAACTGGGGAAGGACTAGTGTGAGATCAGGGCAGGACAGGGAAGAAGTTGTAGAAGGACTGGAGAAGAACTGGAGAAGGACTGGGAGAAAACTGAGGGGAAAGTGGGGCAGGACTGAGGGGGAACTGGGGGGCAGGACTGGGCGGGGGGACTATGGAAGGACTGGGAGAAAACTGAGGCAAGACTAGGGATAAACTGGGGAAGGACTGGGGGGGAAACCAGGGCAGGACTGGGAGAAAACTGGTGAAGGAACTGGGGAAGGACTGGAGGAAAACTGAGGGGAAACTGGGGCGAGACTGGAGGGCAGTGGGGCCTCACCAGCGATGAGGGTGCTCTGCTGTCGCGCCTGCTCCAACAGCAGGACGTGCTGCAGCAGGGATGGGGGACCAGCCGGGGGGTCCCCGTCCAGGGCCACCCCCAGCAGACACCCCGGGATTGAGGACGTGCTCAGGAACTTCCCAGTGAGGGCGGTCCCGGGGCGCAGGGGGGGCACCCCCGGGCGCTCACCCTCAGCCTGCGGTGACAGCTTGGAGGATGCCTGAGGGGACATGGGTGGCAGTGGGGGGGGGTCCCACATCGCCCCCTGGGGTGCCACCCCCATGGGGTCCCCACATGGTCCCCAGGGGTTCCCCACATCCCCCCATAGGAGGGTATCAGGCCCCCATGCCACCCCCTGTTGTGTTCCCACATCCCTCCCCACAGGATTCCCGATCCTAATGTGGTCCCTATGCCACCCTCTTTGGAGTTCCCCCACAGTCTCTATGGATTGGTGCCAGGTCCCCATGGGGACCCCCACATCCCCTCTATGGGGTGGCAGGTCCCCGTGCCACCCACTGTGGGGTCCCCATGTCCCCAGGGAGTCCCCACATCCCCCCCATGGGGTGCCAGGTCCCTGTGCCACCCCCCGTGGAGTCCTCATGTCCCCATGCCCTCAGAGGGTCCCCACATCCCCTCCATGGGGTTCCAGGTCCCTGTGTGACCCCTCCATGGGGTCCCCACGCCCCCCGTGCCCCCAGAGGGTCCCTGTGCCCCCCACTCACGGGGAGGTGGGCGCTGGTGACAGTGACAGTGGCCTGTAGCCCCAGGGACAGGTTGGGCAGCGACGGGGATGTGTAGAGGCTGAGCTGGGCCCCATCCAGGGCCAGGGCACGGGGCTGGGGCAGGAGCTGCTGCGGCACCACACGGCACGACACGCCATCAGCACGTGTGTTGGGGGCATGTCACACCATCAGCACACATGTGCCAGGGCACAGCATGCCATCAGCACATGTGTAGGGGGCAGGTCATGCCATCAGCATGCGTGTGCCAAGGCAAAACTCGCCATAAGCATGTGTGAGCCAGGGCACACCAGTGACACGTTACCTGCACGTGTGTGCCACCACATGCCACTGACACCAGGCACGCTCACAGCACACCTGAACACGTGTGCACCTTAAACATACAGCATGCACTTGAGCACACATGTGCACCCTGAGCACACCCACAGCACACACCGGCACACACATGTGCACCCTGAGCACACTCACAGCACACACCTGGTTACACATGTGTAGCGTGAACATGCACACACTGGTTGCACACACTTGAGCACATGTGTGCATGCAAACATGCTGGCTGGACACACCTGAACATGTGTGCACTCTGAGTACACCCCCAGCACACACCTGAACGTACATGTGCCCCCTGAACATGGACACACTGGCTCCGCACACTTGAGCACACATGTGTACCCACACATGCTGGCTGCACACACCTGCACACACGTGTGCCCCCTGAGCACACCCCCAGAACACACCCACACACAGATGTGCATCATGAGCACCCCCCTAGCACACACCTGCACACACACGTACACCCTGAGCACACCTCCAGCACACATCTGAACGTACATGTATACCCTGAGCACACCCCCAGCACACACCTACACAGATGTGTGCCCCCCGAGCCCACCTCCAACACACACCCGAATATACGTGTACACCTTGAGCACACGCCCAGCACACACCTGCACACATGAGTGCCCCTCCCTCCCCTCGGGCTGTACCTCAGCGTGGATGTTGGGGACGGAGGCGGCCAGGCCGTTGTGGGCACCGTGGGAGCTGTTGGGGGAGCTGGGCCCCGACCCGGGGGCACTGCTGCACACCGAGGACACTGCAGTACATGCGTGTGTCACACACGGGGATGGGGACACCGGGACCCCCACCCACCTCAGGGACAGGGCAATGCAAAGGTGTGCAAGGGCACCAGCACACCTGTGCACACGTGTGGTACCACCGCAAAAGCACGTGCATGGATTAGTGTGCGCATGAACACATGTACGCTTGTGTTGCAGAGGAACACACATAGAGAAGCACACACGTGCACAAGCACGTGCAGATGTGCACACTCACGTTACAAACACACGTGTGCACACGTGCTGCACAAGCACGCATGTTAAAAACCTCCCACAGGACCCAGCCTATGTGCATGCACGTGTTCCACAAGCGCGCGCAGCAGCAGTGCGTGTGCTCCTGTTGCACAAGCACAGGGGTCACATGTACACTCACGCTGCAAACATGTGCCCAAGCACATGTGCTGCACAAGCAGGCGCATACAGACATGCATTCATGTTGCACAAGCGTGTTCACAATCATGCGTGTGCACACATGTTGCACAAGCACACGTGTGAAAAAACTCACACAGCAACAAGCACGTGTGCACCAGTGTGTGCACGTTCCACACACGTGCAGCAGCATGGTGCCCTCCTGTCACACAAGCACACACATGCAGAAGCACACATGCACAAGCGTGTGTGCACTCGTGTTGCACAACCGCACGTGTGCACGTTTCACGCACACGTGCAGCAGCACTGTGCTCTCTTGTTGCACAAGCATGATGCGCAGAAGCACACATGTGCACAAGTGTGTGCGCAGACGTGCACTCCTGTTGCACAAGCATTTGCCTTGGGGGGATGAGTGTTGCCCAAGCACATGTGAAAAATCTCCCACAGGAACAAGCGCGTGTGTGCACATGTTCCACAAGCGTGTGCAGTAGCAGTGCATGCACTCCTGTTGCACAAGCACACGTGTGATGTGCACATTCATGCTGCAAACACATGCACGAGCACACATGTTGCACAAGCACGCGTGTAGATGTGCAGCATCAGCGTGTCCCCGCGTTGCACACAGACATGAAGAAGCACACATGTGCACAAGCGTGTGTGCAGACATGCACACTCCTTCTGGACAGTGAATGTCCAAGCACACACGTGCACACGTGTCCAGCAGTACACGTGTCCCACAGTCCTGTACAGCCACAAGGATGGGGACGCAGGTCCCTCCCGGGCGCTCCGGGGAACCACCGGGTGACCTGGGGAAAGTGAGGCAGGTGGCGTGTCCCCACCCATGACCTCCCACGTGGCCCATGCCGTCACACGTGCCCCCCGGGGGACGCACCGGTGATCTCGACGTGGCGCTTGCGGAAGGCGCTGAGCACTGAGCCATCGCGGCGCCGCAGGAGGGGGCTGCTCCGCCGCTCTGCCACCTTCTGCTTCAGCCGCGACCGCACCTTCAGGTTGGGCTCGGAGGCTGGGGGAACGCAAAAACGTGTCACTCCAAAACTGTCACCTCCCCTGGAGGTGTCTCATGCCCTCCCCGCCCGCCAGCACCCACCAGTTTTCCGGAGAGGAAAGTCATCCCGGCCGTCATAGGTGCCGAGGAGGGGGAGCTTGTAGGACGGAGGGGTCCCCGGGCTGCCTGTCTGCGGGGGGGAACTCTGGTCCAACGAGGTGTGGTGAGCCCTGGGTGGGGGGGGGGGGGGGGGGGCGGAGCCCCCGCTAGGACGCCTGGGTCCCCCCCCCCCGAGGCGGTCTGGGGGGGTTCTGTGGGGCTGGGGGGAACCTACCAACATTTGGGGTGCTGGGGGAGGGAATGGTTCGGGGGGCCGGGGCCCGGCTCCTTCGTCTTGCTGAGCAGGAACTCCTGGAGCTTCAGCTTCACCTCAGTGCTGGCGATGGCACCTGGGGGGCACGGAGGGGTCAGAAGGGCAGTACATCCCCTCTACAGCCCCAAGATGCTCCCAGCACCCTCAGTCCCACTGCCCCCTCTGAGCACATTGCCCCCAGTGCCCCCAACCCACCCCAGAGCCCCTCATCCCACCCCAGACTCCATTGCCCCCCGACCCCCCCGATTCACCCAGTCCCAATTGCAACCAGTCCCTGCCAGAGCTCCCAGCCCTCCCAGGGTCCATTGCCTTCCCTTCCCTCCAAACCAGCCCCCAGCATCCCAACCCCAGATGCCCCCAGCCCCCATTTCCCACGGCCCCCCTCGATGCCCCCAGCCCCATTGCTCCCCTTCCCCCACAGCCCCCCATGTCCCCACTGCCCCCAGCCTCCCAACTGCTACCTGTCCCCCCCGAGATGTGCCCAGTCCCATCCCACTGCCTCCACCTAGAGCCCACTGCCCTCCCAGTCCTTCCACCCACTCCCCAGTCCCCCATCACAACCAGCTCCCCACAGCCACCCCACAGATGCCCCCAGCCCCACTTCTCCCCAGATCCCGTTGCCTCCCATTCTCCCAAATCCATCCCACAGCCCACAACACCCCCCACCCTCAAATGCCCCCATTCCCCCCAATCCCACTGCCCCCCTCTGAGCACATTGCCCCCAGTGCCTCCAACCCACCCCCAGCCCCGATTGCTACCAGCCCCCTCCCCAGCCCCCCGATGCTCCCTCGCTCACTGTCACGGCCCCTGTCCTTGGGTCGCAGGTTCTGGAGCTGCTCCAGGCGCTGCTGCTCCAGCTCCTGCCGCTCCCGCTGCCGCTGCTGCTCCAGCTCCTGCTGCCGGCGGGCGGCCAGGGCCTCCTGCTGCTGCTGCAGGGCAGAGGGACATGGGGGGGACAGGGATGGGACCCCTGCAGCACAGCCACTCTGGGAGGATGCATTGCCCTGCCTTCTCCGCCCCACCTAGCTCCGGTACCCCAGGATAACACCCCACAGCACCAGCACCCCAAGGAACATGATGGCCCATGGTTCTGGCACCCCAAACCCCCTCAGTGGCTCCATCACCCCCAATCGCCCCCCAAGAGCTCCATCGCCCCAGATTACAGATACCCCACATCTGCATCCCCCCAACCTCCCTCTCAACAGTTCCATCACCCCCAATAGCTCCATCGCCCCCAGCAACCCTCCCAGCAGTTCCATCACCCCAGATAAATGGTATCCCACAGCTCCATTTCCCCCCCCCGATCTCCCCCAACAGTTCCATCACCCCACAGAGGTGATCCCCCACAGTTCCATCATCCCCAATAGCTCCATCACCCCAGTATCCTCCCCTGTGGCTTCATCGCTCCCAGTCTCACCCCCAACAACTCCATCACTCCCAATATCCCCATCATCTCAGACAGGTGATACCTCTTACCTCCATCACTCCCAATATCCCTCCAACAGCTCCATTGCTCCTTATCTCCATCACCTCCAGTATCACCCCCTTGGTTCCATTACCCCCTACAACTCCATCACCCCCACTATCATCTCCAACACCTCCACCACCCCAAATCAGTGATACCCCGTATTTCCATCACACCAACCTCCCTCCCAACCACTCCATCACCCTCCAACTGCTCCATCACCCCCACTATCCCCCTCCCACAGCTCCAGCACCTCAGACAGGTGACACCCTGTCTCTCCATCACCCCCAGCATCCACCTCATGGCTCCATCATCTTCAATCACCTCCTAAGAGCTCCATCACCCCCGATCAGGGATCCCCCACATCTCCATTCCCCCAACCTCCCCCCCCCAACAGCTGCATCATCCCAGATCAGTGATCCCCCAAATCTCCATTCCCCCAACCTCCCTCCCAAGAGCTCCATCGCCCCCCATTGCTCCATCAGCCCCAGTATCCCCCCTCCAATACCTCCATCACCCCCCATATACCTCCCCATGGCTCCACAACCCCCAGTATCTTCCCCAACAGCTCCATTCCCCCAATCCACCCCCCAAGGCTCCCCCCCCTCACACCTTGAGGTGCTTCTGGAGCTGGACCTGGTGCTGGCGCGTGAGGTGCTCATGCTGCTTCTGGAACTCGGCGAAGAGCAGCTGCTTCTGGAGCTGCTGCTGCTGCTTCAGGGCCACCAGCTCCCGCTGCAGCTGCCGCTCCCGCGCCGCCGCCAGTCCCGCGTCCAACCCTGCAGCCTCCGGCCCTGCTGCCTCCAGCCCTGGCCCCTCCAGCCCTGGCCCCTCTGGCCCTGCGGGGCCACACTGGGTTACGGGGGGGGCGGGATGGGGGTGGCTTGGGGAAAGGGTTCCAGGGGTATGGTGGGGGCAGGGACTTGTTTAAGGGGTGTTTTTAGGGTGTCCCAGGGATGTGGGGGAGACACAAGAGTGTCTTGGCGGTGTCCTAGGAATGATAGGTGGGCTGGGACTTTGTTAAGGGGCAGTTTTAGGGTGTCCCAGGGATGGGGGAGGAGAATTAGGGGCAGTTTGGGAGCATCAGTGAGAGGGGAAAAAGCTGGGAGCATTTTGAGGGTGTCCTAAGGACGGAGGGGAGCTCGGATCAGTTTTGGGGTGCACCAGGGATAGAGAGGGGAAATGGGAGTGCCTTGGGGGTGTCCCAGGAATGATGGGGGGGGGTGCTGGGGGTGTACTGGGAATGATGGGAGGGATAAGACTTATTTAAGGGGCAGTTTTGGGGTGTCCCAGTGGTGAAGAGGGAACTGAGAGCCGTTTGGGAGTGTCCTAGGGGTGGGGAGGGTAGCTGGGAGCAGTTTGGGGGTGTCCTGGGGATGAGGGGAGGTGTTAGGGGCAGTTTGGGGGTGTACCAGGGATGGGGGAAGAGGCCGGGCATTCCCAGAGATGGGGGGACGGGAGGGGACAGCTCACGGGCACCTGGGGGGTTGCCGGGGGCAGGGTGTCGGTGATCAGCCCCTCCCATGAAGCTCCTAGGGGTCTCCCCCCAGCTTCCAACCCCCTGGATAAGCCCAGGATTCCCCCATTCTCCCCCCCAAAAAACCCACATGGAGGTTCCCCAGTCCAAGCTCCTGCATTTGCAACACAGAACAACCAACCCAAAGGGCAACCGGGGGGGGGGGGGGAGGGCAAGACCGAGCCCCCCCATCCCCAAACATCCCTCTTAAATTCCCCAGCGATCACCGAGGGGCACAGACATCCCCCCCTCACCTCCATCAGCAAAGGACACGGGGAGGGGACACAGCGTCCGGGCCACCCCCACCTCGAGCCCTCCCCCTCCCCACGCAAACAGGAAGGCGGGGGCGGGGGGCACGCGCTGAATGTTAACACGCCCCCCCCCTCCCCTCCCCTCCCCGCAGCCCCCTCAACCTGGCGCGGCCGCACGTCGGGCACTGACGTGCGCCTGGACGGACCCACGGACGTCACTGTGCGCGGGGGTGGGGCACCCCGAGCCCCCCCCTGCTTTGACAGACCCCTCCGGGGCATGCCAGCCCCCCCCCGAGGATAGCCAGCCCCCCCAAAACCTGCCAGTGCACAGTACCCTGCTGCCCCCCCCCAGTGCCAACCAGGCTCCCCAAATATCAGCCCCCCTGCTAGGCAGTACACCCCCTCCCCCAAGCTAACCAGCCCCCCAAGCCAGGTAGCCTGTCCCCCAAAACTAACCAGCCCCTCCAGTGCCAATCATCCCCCCATCAACCAGCCCCCCACACACGAGCCAGCCCCCCCCAAACTAGGTAGCCTTCCCCCCCAAGCTAACCAGCCCCTCATACACCAACCAGACCCCCCAAGCTAGGTAGCTTGTCCCCTTCAAACTAACCAGCCCTACCAGTGCCAACCATTCCCCCCACAAACCAACCAGCCCCACCTCCCCAGTGCCAACCACCCCCTCCCAGTATGAGCCAGCCTCCCAAACCAGGCAGCATCCCCTCAAACTAACCAGACCCCCCCGTACCAGACAGTCCCTCCAGTGCCAACCAGACCTCTCCCAGTATGAGGCAACCCCTAAGCCAGGCAGCACCCCCCCAAACCAACCAGTCCCCTCAGTGCCAACCAGCTCCCCAACACATGAAGCAGCACCCCCAGTGTCAACCGGCTCTCCCTCCCCAGTACTAACCAGTCTCCCCCAGTATGAGCCAGCCTCCCAAGCCAAGCAGCATCCCCCAAGATAACCAGTCCCTCCCAGTGCCAACCAGTACCCCAATATACCAACCAGCCCCCCAAACCTCCCATCTCAACCAGTCCCCCCAGTATGAGCCAGCCCCCCAAGCCAGGCAGCACCCCCCCAAACCAACCAGCCCCCCAAGTCAGTGCCAGCCCCCCCCGATATGCAAGAGGGGAACCTCCAGCCCCTCCTCCCCACCCCAAGTCGCTCTCAGGGTGGGGGGAGGGGGTTTGTTTCTCCTGAGGGGGGATATTTTTGGGGGTGCATTGGGGCACTCCTGCAGCCCCCCAGACCTGACATGTCCCAGTTTGGGGGGTAACCAAAGGCCCCTGGTGGTTGTTGGGGTGCAATGGGGGGGTGGGGGTCAGCACCCAGCCCTTTCAGGGGGGAGGGGAGGGGGCAGCACCCGGGGGGGCTAAAGATAGCCCCCAGAGGAGCCAACCCAACACTTTGGGGTCAGTGGTGGCTCTGGGCTAGCACCGGGCTGGGTGGTGGTGGGGCCACCACTGCACCCTGTGAGGGGACCCTCACCCTGTGCCCCCTCACCTCCACGGACAGGGGCTGCTTGCACAGCTGTACACACGTGTAGCTCTCCTCTGACACACCTGTGCATACCTTTACACACTCATGCAAAAAGAGCAGATCTCCTCCTTGCACACCTACACAAGGGGAGCAGCTCTCCTCCCCCTGCACACCTGAACACTCTCATGCAAGGAAAGCAGCTCTACCTCTTGCACAGCTGAACACTCAGGTGCAGCTCTCCCCCGACACACTTGTGTCAAAAGAGAAGCTCTCCCCTTGCACAGCTGTGCACACTCATGCAAGGAGAGCAGTTCTCCCCTTTGCACACCCCCCCACCACGCTACACTCACACCTCACTGGGGGGGCATGACCGGCTTTTGCGGGGGGATGTCACCGGATTTTGAGAGGGGATGTCACAGGGTTTTGGGGGGAATGTCACAGGGTTTTGAAGGCACAGGGAACCAGGCTCTCCCACTCACCTGGGGTGTGCAGTGGGGTGCAGGGCAGGAGCTCCAGGGGGGGCTCACGGTCGGACACCCCCTCTGCGGAGAGAGACCTGTGTCCCCCCCCCCGAACGGGACCACAGAGGGGCTGGGGGGCACACGCACCCCCAAACCCAACCCTCCATCACCCTCTCAGCAGAGGGGGACAGAGAGATAGGGGTCACAGAGCATCCCTTGGAGTTTGGGGTGATTGGAGAGGATGTGCCCCCCCCCTCATTCTAGGCAGTGTAGGGCTGAGGGGCCCCCCCTCACCCACAGCTTCCTCCATGCCCCCCTCCATCCAGGCTATTCTCTCCAACTCCTGGAAATAGCCGGCGCACGGGAGGAGCTGGCTATAAATAGGGAATTGTGCCGGGGGGGTGTCACAGCGGATCCTGTGGGATGGGGTGTGCTGTGCCCCCCCCAACAGCCAGCTGCATCCCCAAACTGCCCCGGGGACAGGGCACAGGGGCTGCCCTGCATGGGGGGGACTGTGGGGGGCCTAGGATCCCACCACACCCCTCCCATCCCACCCCCCTTTCCACATCCCCCTAATTGCCAGGGACATTAATCCGCATCAGCACTGCCAGGAATAAAATCTGGGATGTGCAGAGAATGATTAGCCCCCGCTTTGAGAAAATGAAAGCAAACGACCCCCCCCACCCTTCCCAGGACCCTGTGACTCCCCCCAAGAAGACCCCCCAGGGAGACAGGGGTGCAGGGGGTGCAGATGTCGACTCAGCACATTTCCCATGGGATTAGTGTCCCAAAGCAGCTCCACGGGAACAAACCAGAGCGGGGAGTGACAACAGGCTGAGGTGTGGGGACCCCCCTTTTGGGAACGGTGACCCCCCCCCCAGCGCCCTAGCCGTGCGTAACCCCCCCGGCAGCCGCCACGTTTATTTACCAGCACATTAATCCCATGCCAAGACTTTTAATAGCTGGGATATTTCTGGGACACCCCCCGCGCCCCCCCCCATAGGGCGCTTTGGGGCTTGACGTCAGCCCGGCTATTTCTGGTGTTGCCAGCGGGCAGGAGGCCACGGGAATGGGCCCTCCTGGCTCCTGGACCCCCTTCCCGGCTCCTGGACTCCTTTCCTGGTGGCCAGACCCCCATTACAGCTCCTAGACCCCCTTCCTGGCTCCCCATGGAGCCCCATCCAGAGGTGGTGGCATATCTGGGGGATGGGGGGGCCCTCAAGGAGATGGAGGGTAATAGTGGGGACCCCCAGGTATGATGGGAGAGATGGAAGGGAGGCGGGGGGCTGCACCCAAGGATGGTACCAGCACCCACAGGACACCCCCCCCCGATTGACCCAGCCCAGCTGAGACCTGTCCAACTCATCACAGCAGCCGGAGAGTCACAGCATATCTCGGGGGTCCCCAAACCCCCCTTCCACAGGCAAACTCAAAGCCACAGCCAGGAGGGGACCCCGAGCAAAGCGCCCCGGGGATGGCAGAGGCGGGCAGGCCGTGTCCCCGTGCCAGCCTCGTGCCAGGCACGGCCAGGCGACACTCCAGCCCTGCGGCTGCTCCAAAAATACCAGCCGGCGGCAACCAGGGCGGTTTGGGGGCAGAGGGGATACACGTACCCCCATCCCCAACCGGCGGTGAGCCCATGCAGGAGACACGGGGGCTCTGCCACTGCCCTTGTGCCTCAGTTTCCCCTTCAGAGCCCGCGAGGGTCGGCGGTGCCGCGTGTCCCCATCCGGGAAGGGGAAGAGGACACACACACCCCCACCCCCGTCCAGATGTCGCCGGAGTTCCCACCGGGATAATTACAGGGCGGCTCTGCCGGGGAGGCAGCGGGAGCCGGGACAGCGCGGGCACGGCCCTCATGGTCACCACAGCTGTCCCCACGCCTGGCACCGCAGGGACCCCGCACAAACAGCCACGCGTGGGCTGGCCACGGCGGTGACAGGAGCCGTGCCTCAGCTTCCCCTGGGGGTGGGAAATGCCAGGGGTCTGGGAAAACCGGGAAGGGGGATACCTGGCATGGCCCGGGATACTGGGGGAGGGGGGCAGCTGGCACAACCCCCCTCCCCCCCCTCGCCCCGGTGCCTGGCACGGTGACACCCACACGGCAGTGGGCACAGACATGCCATGGTGGGTGGGACACTGCTGCAGCACCCTGTGGGACCCCAACACCCCGTGGGTGCCATGGCAAGGAGCTTCGGGGCCTCAGGGCAGACACGACGATATGCAGGGGGGATGCAGCTGTGACCGGCGCCTGGCAGAGGGGAACTCCCCCATCCCGGGGTCCCCAGGGCTCACCTGTGTCGCTCTGGGGGTCCATGGTGGGCGGCGGGTGCCGGGGGGGTGCGGAGAGGCACGTGTCCGGCGAGCCCGTCAGTGCCGCCCGGGGCACCGCGGCTGTGCCTGCGCCACCTGGGAGCCCTGCGGGACCAAGTGCCCTGTCAGCACCCCGGGACCCCCAAAATCCCCCCCAGCACCAAGTGAGAGGGGGGCTGGAGCCAGCACTGAGCCCCCCTCCAGCCCCTGAACACCCGCCAGCGGCAGGATGTGGCCCCGCTCTGCTGCCCCCAGGGATGGGGGGACCTGTGGGCACCCCCAGAAGGGACCTGGGGGGGTAGAGGGGACTTGGGGGGCTGAGGAGGCTTTGGGGGAGTTGGCAGCATTACACAAAGCTCTGCAGGAAAAGAAGGGGGAGCACAAAGGGGGAGCCCAGGGGGATGGCAGAGAAGTACCCCTCCCCCGTACCACTCCAAAAGGACTCGGGTGGGACCCCCATAAGGACATGGGTGGAGGGGACACACGCTCATTTGTGGCCGTCCCCCACACCACAAGGCCCCCGGTGCTGCCGCCCCCCCAAAACCGAGGCATTGCCCCGAGATGGGAGTCGGGGGGTGCCACGCGTAGGGGCCACGCGGCGGGACGGACCCCACGGAGGGGAGGGGGGGGGGGACAGGACACGCAGGCTGCCGGCAGCCGGCAGCCCCGAGCCCAGCGCGGTGCAGCGGGGCCCCCCGGCCCCCCCGCCGCAAACGGGCCGCGCTGCGGAGCCGCCGCCGCGCTGGCGCCCGGGCCCCCTGACATCGCAGGGCCCCCCCGACATCGCAGGATCCCCCCACTACACAGACCACCCCACTCCATTGCACCGAGTAAAGCCCATCGCACCGGGACCCCCCAACCCGCACCGACCTCTTCCCGAACCGCACCGGGGCTCCTCATTGCAGGGCCCTGCCGAACCGCGCCAGGACCCCCCAACAGCACCGGGACCTCCAACATTGCAAAGCCCTCCCGAACTGCACAGAGACCCCTCTAGACTGCAGGGCCTCACCACTGCATGGGCTCCCCCTTCCCCGAACCACGCCGGGACCCCGTAACGCACAGGACCCCCCCCTGACTTGCACTGGGGTCCCCCACTGCAGCCCCCGCACCGAACCGCAGCGGGATCCCATTGCAGCCCCCCATCCACCCGCACCGAGACCCCCATTGCAGTCCCCCAAAAACCACCCCATTGCAATCCCCTCCTCGCGACGCACGGGGCCCCCCCATTTCACCACCCCCTGACTCTCACAGGAGGGTCCCCCCATTGCAGCCCCCCCCACAAAGCCGCACAGGGGCCCCCCATTGCAGCCACCCCCCCATCCCGCACGGCGCAAAGCCGCATCACATCGGGCCCCCCCAACCACACAGCAGCCCCCCATTACAACTCCCCCTCCCCACTGCACACACACACACCCCGCCCCAAACCGCACCGGACCCCCAACGCGCCTCCCCATTGCAGCCTCCCCACCAATGCACGGGGGGCCCCCCCACCGGACGCGCACAGGAGGGACCCCGGTACCGCACACCCTCGCGCTCCGCCGCGGCCCCCCCCAGGCGCGGTGCCCCCCTCCTCGTGCCCCCCGGGCCCCCCTCGTACCTGGGGTCCCCCCGGTGCCGCCCGGCGCGCGCCCCGCCCCCCCCCCCCCCTCCTCCTCCATCTTCGCCGCGCGGCCCCGCCCGCCCCGACAACAACATTCGGTGACGTCACTCGCGGGTCACGTGACGGCGTCCGTGTGCTAAAAATAGACCCCCGCGCGAAGGGGGGGGACCCTCCCCTTGGGGACGTGGGGCTTAAAGTGGGGCGGGGCTTAAGGAGGCTCTTAAAGGGGCCGCGGGTTGCAATTGCACACGTGTGTGTGCGTGCAATGGCACACGAGCAAGCGTGAGTGTGCAAATGCATGTGCCCGAGTGTGTGTGCGCAGTAGCACATGTGCGTGAGTGTACAATGGCATGTGAGTGTGTGTGAGTGAGCAAGGGCACACATGTGCTCTGTACCTCTGTGCAGCTGCTCATCAGCCCATCATACCTGTGGGCAGGTTCACACGTGAGTGCACATGGGCCTGGCATGTCCTCACACATGAGTGCAAGAGACACACAGATACATGTGAGCAGGACATCGACACATGCATACAGACACACACACAGACACGTGTGCAAGAAACACAAACTCATTTTCTTACAAATTACAATCCCAAAAACAAATTCCAAGACCAATTCCAATACCAACTACAATACCTGTTCTCATCAAGAGTCCTCTTCTCCATTAGGCCCTTCACCCATCCTGATTTTAAGTCAGAGAGGCAAACCAGGTACTTCTGCTCCCAGAGCCTTTATACCTTGTGGGATTGGGCTCCTCCCTTTCCCCGGGGCCTCATGGGAAGGGAGGTGGGCACAGCTAGGGGTATATTAACCCCAGCCTTTGCTCAGGGGAGTCATCCAGCAGGCAGGTTTCAATGGGATAAGAGTTCTCCTGTTCTTTCACTGAATGGGACTTCTCAAGCTATTCCTGCTTTATTGAAGCATCAGCTTTGGCATCCAAAGAAGCAGAGCTATATATGGCAATGGAGAGGATTACACTCACATGCAGGGGTTTTAAATTTAATAATTTTGTGTGCTGTGTTGGTAAGGTGCTTTTGTAACTTGTTATCTTTTTTTCTTTTCCTTAGGAGCCTTGCATCTTTTGGGATCTCCTGATCATCTCAACTGCAGCTTGGCATTTTTTCACAAGTGTTATCCAGTCCCCAGGTGAAGCTCCTCTGTGTTGAAGATGGCCACAGACAGCCAGGTTTCCAAGTAGTCAGTGGGGGGGTTACAGCCCAGAGATGGAGTGAGGGCTCAGGAGCCATCTTAGGAATTGCCAGGGGTGTTTTGAAGGCAGTATGGGTGGAAAGCAGTGTCCAGGAGCCCCCTAAATGTCTGTGAAGGCA